CCATGGCCACAGACACAGCCACGGCCACGGACACAACCATAGCTATGGTCACGGCCACAGCTGTGACCACAGCCATGGCCACGGCCACGTCCACAGTCAGATCTGGACGAGTTTATCCACTGATGCCACGAGCCCCAAAGGGACAGACCCAGGACTTAGTTGCCCGGTGTGTGCCCAGAGCTGCCCCCCACCCCCAGGGTCTTCTGGACTCTTCCTGGCAGGAAGGGAGGTGAGGGTGGTCACGGCGGAGCCGAGGAGACGGCACAATGCGACTCTGTCCCGCCTCTCCTTCCCACCTGTATTTCTGGGCCACCCGGCCCACTCACAGGGAACTGGCCTTCTGCTGTCCCCGCCGGGCACCTGCAGCCGCCTGCCCCCACCCGCCCGGCAGCGGCCGAGCCCGCCCGGTCTGCGTCGGTGCGGAGCAAAGTTGCAGTCGCAATATTCATCTTGATTCCCCTCGAACCTCGAGCGGCATCGCCGCTTCCACGGAGCCGGTGACAGACAAAGGCGTCGCCATCCATCACAGTTAGGGGGACGGGTACACTAACCACCTCTGCTTAATGATGTGATTGTTGCTTATCTGCAAAGTAATGTCACTTACGGCCTCGCTGTGTATAGTCAATGTAGTGTTAGCCCATTTAGGCCCCCGCCGGCGCTGTGGCCAGCCCATTAGCTGTGATTATGGACCAGGCGGGGGTGCAGCTCCCGGAACCTTCCGCGGGGCGGCCCGCCAGCCCTCCTCAGCCACGGCAGGAGGGGGGGGGGGTGGCCGCCGAGGCCGGTCTGTGTGGCGGGAGGGAGCGTCTGGGGGACAGCGGGAGAGGCATGAAATGTTAACGACCCCACGGAGATGCGGGGCCGGGCGGGAGGGAGGGGCAGCCGGGCACGGCCCACTTGGCCGATTCCCTTTGAACAGGACGTGTGGGAGCGGGCCTCCGCGCCCCCGCGCTCTGTCCCTGCCTGTGAGAACTCGGCAACTTCAAAGGCGACCCCCAGGGCTCCCAGCTCCCCCCACCCCTTCGTCTCGGACCCCCAGGAGCGAGGCCTGAGTCCTGCTCGGAGGAGGCAGCGGGAGGAGGGGGCCGCGGGCTGAGGCCTCCCAGCGTGGCCTCGGGGGCCTCATCCCATCAGGGGCCGCTTCCTCTCGCTCCCGGACCAACACCCGCACCTGGGACCGGGGCCTTGGGGACGGTGTTCGTGGGGCCGGCCAGGAGGGGGCGCAGCCTCGGGGACCCTCAGAGGAAGAGGGACCCACGGGGACCCCGAGGGAGGGGTGGGATGAGGACGGGGTCTGCCGGAGCAGCACAGAGGCCGCTCTGCGGACCGGCCACACCTGGACAGTCACCCACAGAGCAGGCCGTGGTCATCTCTGCAGTCTTGTCTGGAGAGTCTCGTGTCTGTGAGAGGAAGCACAGGGGACCCCCTGCTGGAGGGGAACCCCCGGAGGCCCTCAGAAAGACTTTGAGAACTGGGGTGTCGGATTCGCTGCCTGGGGAACAGCCAGGGCTGGGCTTCGCACCTTGTCCTGTCCTGCTGCCCCTTGGGGGATCCCTCGGCCGCCAAGGAGCACTGTGCGTGTCCCCCTGAGAGGCAGGCAAGGGGAAGGAGGAGCTGGGAGGGAAGAGGGAGGGGGAGGGGGAGGGGGAGGGGGAGGGGGAGGGGGGGAAGGTGCAGGGGAGATTTGCCTTGTAGGGCGTCACCCAGCGGGTAGGTGAGGCCCATCCCACTCTGCTCGCAAACCTCTGGCGTGCTCAACACTGGATTCGAACCCTCGGAACGGCCTTCAGGAACGAACCTTCAGGAGCGGCCGCCAAGTGACACCTTGCTGCTCCTGTCCAGCCCGGCGTAACGATGGCCCTGAGAGCCCCGAGCGTTGTTCCGAACCGCAGACGCCAAAGTCACCTGGCAATCCAGTCTCCTCCAGAACGCAGCAGCCTGGCCGCCCAGAGAAGGCTCCGGGCACCCGTGGCCAGTCATCCCCGCCCTGCTGAGCGGCCTTGAGTCGCAGGAGAGCCGGCGGGTGAGGGTCTACGGCCGCTGCTCGGCTCCACAGAACAGAAGAAACCTGTGACACGTTTGCGTCCCTTCTTCCAAAAATCACAACCACTGTGAACTGCTAAAGCCCTAAGCCAAAGCGGCAAACCAGAGGTCGGACGCGAGAGGAGCATTTTAATTAAAAAGAAAGCTGGCGGAGGGCTTGTAAAATACGGTGAAGTTAAAAAAAAAATGTTTTAAACATGCCAGATCCTTTGGGGGTAGAAGAAGAGGGATTTTTCCATAGTAATCGCTCTATTCCATTTTAATATTTTTGAATGCAGAGGTGTTTTCTAATCCCGTGCCAGAGAGAGCAAGATTTATCGCTGATTATGTAGCAGTTACAAATGGGGGGCCGGGGCCGTAAACACGGCGCTCCGTGCCGCTTATTTTTGGGTGATATCCTTCCACGTCTGGTTGGAAATGGGAATAAATTAAACATGACTGCGTGGGACTGCTTTGTGCTGGCTCGGGGGCACTCCCGGGGGCGGGCACGGAGCCAGCCTCTTCCTCGCGCTCCTCCTCCTCCGACTGCTCTCGAACCCGAGTGCTAAATTAGCAGGTGTCATTAAAGACTCTCCGGATTTGGCTAAGCAACGGCTCCCGGTAGGACGAGGTTCCTTACCCAGCCTTCCAATGTCACATCATTTTTAAAGCAGCTTGACCTGGAAGCTTGCAGCTGAAGTTGTGGGGACGGTTAATGACAGTTTTATTGGGCACTCTGCTTATGGTTCACATTTCCAGGTCTGTATGTAATTGATCTTTCTCCCCTACATGAGAAACACAGCAATAAGCCGTCGTGGCACCACATTAGAGATATGGAGAAATCATAATGATGTCACCTTGAGATTCAAAGATCGCGGAATAGTAATAGTCTCTCAGCTCATCTCTCCCAGCCGTGATGACCTCGCCAATGCTCGCACTTAACAGTCTCAGCGTTATTTCTGAATTATTCATGCCAGCCTTCCCCTCACCACAAAATCAAGGGGAATGAATGCACCCTGCCCTGTCAGCGCCACAGGTATCTGGGTAAAAATATAAAATGTTCTTTGGGAATCACGAAATAAAAAAAAAAAAGAATGGGTGTGATGTTGTGAGCGCCACGCTTACCTCAGACAGAAACACACACAAACAACAGCAAACGCTCAGATGAGTGGGGGCTTTAGAGCGCAAAGGGCTTGTTCCCGGCAATTCCAGACTGCTCGTGGGCTAATCGCGTCAGGTGGCGAGGTGTCTCTGGCGTTCGGGCAAGGGTGCATAATGAGGATAGAGCCCCCCGAACGACGGGAATTCCTGCGCGCCTTCGAGAAATTCATTCGCCTGCCCCTCTCCCGGCCGGTCCCAGCCACCGTGCCGCTTAAACTGTGAGCTTTGGAAATATCAAATCAGCATAGATTTCTTCTTTTAATTCCAATTACGCAGAGAGAGCAGCTTGACAGCTCTTCTCCTGCCCAGTCTGGAGAATTCCGGAGAGCTACAGTTTTATTCCAGTGACAGATCTCATAAGAAGCGCATGTGGGAATAAAATAAAATGCATGGAAATGTAAACCCGGGCAGGTACCTGATCCATCTGTAGCCCTTGACCTTTAAGTTCGTGATGAAAAACAAATGTCAGGCTTTCAGAAGACAGGAGTAGCCCGAGCTCCGATGTGCAGACTGTATTAATTTAGGACGGCATCAATAACCTTGAAATCAGGATTTTGCACTGAAAACCCTGGTTTATGTTTATTCAGAAACTAAAGGGGGGAAAAGGCAACTTCATTTAAAGGCGCCCTCGGCGGCGGCGAGTGGGCGAGCATTTCCCGAGCTGCTTGCTGGCTGCCATGGCAACAGATACTGAAGATGAGGAGGACCCGGGATGTCCCAAAGTCTCTTCATTCTGCATGCCGTTCCAATTATAGCCACGGCTGCTCTCTGGGCTCGGCGGGCCCCGCCTGGCAGAAAGCACGCTCCCCGACTCCTGCCCCTCGAGGCTGGGGTGCCGGAGCAGAGACAAAGCCCCGTTTGGGTGGGCCAAAGTCATGTGCTCGTTAGGGGAAGAAAGTAAACGCTTCCTGCTAAAGAAAGCAGAGATCTCCCCCGGCCTGCACTGGTCCCAGACACAGACGGGGTCTGGGGACACGAGGGGGTTCCGGCACCTGGGGCCCGGCTGGTCTAGTACCTCCCCCCCTCGGCCACACGCCTGCTTGCTGGACCCAGGACCAGGACACATGGCCATCTGGGGCACCATCAGAGCGGGCAGTGCAGGGCCTGTGGGGGGTAGAACTGCCACGGCCTCCTCGGCCAAGGCGGAAAGCCAAGTATGTGTGAGCGGTCACAGCCTGGGCTCACTGGAGATGCAAACAGGCCGCAGCACCTGTGGTTCGTGGCACCGCGTGGTGCCCAGTACCCAAGCCCTCGCCGACGCCCACAGCTGGTGCTCTGGGCAGAGTCGGCCTGCTTCTGCCTCCTTGCAGGGCATGGCCGAGAACGTGCTGGAAGATTTCAGATCATTGTCCTCCAGGAACGGCTGACAATATGAAAAAGTCAAAAAATCACGGTGCATGATAAGTAGAGGAAACGTGAAATCACGTTGCCCCAAACGCGTAATAAAAAAAGAATACATCTAAATTCTTTTTCAGTTTAAAAGAATTTTAGTCATGTGAATACGTTCGACACCATGGATCTGGACACTTGAAAAAGTTGTTGGGATAGTCTGATATGTGTGAGCAAGATTTTAGCGAGATTTTAAAACGCAAACGTGGCAAACAAGGCGGAGAGTTCTCGGCAAAGGAAGAAGAGCGCCTCGCCTTCAAGCCAGCTGCCCCGCGCCTGGTTCCTGCCCCCAGACACGGAGCTCATGAAGGACACGCGCACGATCGGTCACTGCAGCGCTCAGTCCTAGGGCCGAGACCCCACGCCCACCCCAGCACCGGACAGAGGCGGCTAGTGAGGGTGCGGCCGACACACAGCATGGACGAAGGATGAGACCAGCCGCCCGCTGCCACGTGGACGGGCTGGAGGGCCCCGGGCTGGTGAGTGAGTCAGAGGGACAGATGCAGAGGCTCCCACTCACCCCGGGTGGAGAGTAACTGGGCAGGAAACAGGGGACCCAAGGGGGCTGCCTGGCGCTCCCTGGCCCTAGGGACCGAGGAGGACAGGGAAGGAGAGAAACGAGAGACGGACACAGGGGGCGGCAGGGGCAGGTGTGAGAGGCGGGGCAGGGTGGTGAGTCCATCTGGTCTGTGTGAGCCACAGGCTTGCAGCACGGGGGACATTGGTGCTAACTCAGCAACCAGACCCTGAAACGCGCCTGCCCGGGAGGTGGATGGGACACTGGGCAAGAGAGTGGGCGTTGACGGGGGGGGGGGGGGGAGGGGGTCAGCGCGGAACACGCTGTGCCTGAAACCCCACCACGAAGACCCTTGAAGGTCATGACGCCCTGATACACACAGTTAAAGATAAAACATGAAAACTCTGATGAGAGTGAGTTTTTTTTTTTTTAAATAAAAAGAACTGTTTGGGGCCAGGCTGGGCCCTCCAGCTGTGAGGTCTGGCTTCGCTCCTGACATCACCCCTGGGGCAACCCTGCTGGCCCCCAAGTTCCACGGGTGTGGCCACACGACAAGAAATCGGGGACCACGGCACGGCCACCAGGCAGGAGGGATGCTGGCCCTGCAGGTGTGAGTGCACCAGAGTGTTCCAGAGAGCACCGGGCCCTCTGTGGGTGGGTGTGGCTCCCCCTCAGGCTCTGGGGTCACCGCCCCCCCACACCCGCATCCCCAGACCTGGTGGGCAGCGAAGCAGACGGCCTGCAGGAATGACCCGGGGGCGTCTCTCAGCGAGTGCCCAAGGTTCAAGGCTCAGCCCAGGTCTCAGGGTGGGGCTGGGGGCTCCAGCTGCCCACGTCATCCCTCAAGACTGAGCCTGACATGTTTGGGGGGAGCGGGGGGCCCCCGCAGTGACAGGCCACCAGCGACAAAGAACCAGGATTCGGGGTGTCCACAGAGCGTGAGACTGACTTTCTGATTTGTAACATGAGGGAGGGAGGGAGGGAGGGAGGGAGGGAGCGTGTCGGCCTAGAGGAAGAGGGTGGGGTCGCGGAGAGGGGAGGGGCTGGGGGTGAGCAGAGAGGGTGGATCTTCACCACAGCCAGCGGTCCGCTAGCTGCAGCCCTGACTGACCACAGGTCCGAGAGTGGCTCTCACCCACCATTCTGTCCCGTGCAGACCTCAGGCATACTGAGTTCTCCAGAGAACCAGCCCGGGGTGGGGGGCTTGGTGGGCGCAGGGGGGTGGCAGAGAGGGTGCCTGGAGGGGGCAGGCAGGGTGGGCAGCCAGGCCGAAGGGCCGGGCCACTCCCTTCCGCCCACCCCCTCGCTCCAGCCCGGCAGCCCCTCTCAGAATAGGTTTGCTCTGAGCTTTTTCACACTTACAAAATCCATCTGAACGCTTGGTGGTAGACGGCAGGTTCGTGGCTGGGAGATTGTCTAGAGACGCTTTGTGAGGCCGGGTGCTGGCGGAGCCAGGGGTGGCGGGGGTCGGGGGGAGCCTTCTGATCCATCAACTTTCTAAAGGATCGGACGGAGTCAAACCATCGCAGCCCGTGGAGGGGCCGCGTTCTGGGGATGCCTTCGCAGCCTACACCTGGCACCTGGCGGGCAGTTGGGAGAGAGGCCGCTCGGTGACGAGGCCTCAGCCCCTCCCGGCAGCAGCCAGTGTCCACACAGAGGCCTGAACTCCAAGGGGACCTTGGGGGTCTCAGACCAACAGTGCCGGCAGCTGGGCACCCCCCAGAGACTTGAGAAGAAAGAAAACTAACCTCTCTGGGGCAGCCTGTGACCGCACTCGGGGCTCACTCCGGGCAGGGCAGGGATCGAACGTGTGTCGGCTCGAGCAGGGCCAAGCCTTCCCAGACCAGCATCCCTGAGGCCTCCCCAAGGGTCTGCGCGCTTGTGGGCACTGGTGGGCAGGGCTGGCCACCAGTGCTGACCCCATCACGGGCAGCCAGCCCCGGCCTGGGAGGGGTTTGGCCAAACTCACCACGGGCAGTGCCCACAGACGAGCCTGCCGGCTTCCTTCTCTGCCTCCCTCCCGGAGGATGACAGTGTCCAGGACACGTCCTCGTTCCATCCCCTCGGCATGGACTCACCCGTCCACCCGCCTGTCAGCACCTCGAGGTGCCAGGTGCTACCATGGGTGCTGGGGGGCTCCAGGAAGCAGCGATGATCAGAGGTCTCACCCGGCCTCTGGGCAGGGACGCAGCTGAGCAGTGTGGTCACTGCAGAGCTCTGGCGAGCCTGAAGGGACAGGCTGTTCACAGCGATGGCCCGTCTCGGGGACCAACACTGGCACGTCAGGAGGGAGGCGTGTGCGGCACGAGCTGTGGACAGAGGGTCAGGCTGGCCCTGGGCGGCAGGTCAGGAAAGGGACCTCTCCCACAGAAGGTGGCTGGCCGGGGGTCCCGGAAGGCCCAGCAGAGCAGAGCAGCTTCTGAGCAGGCTTAGAGAGGACCCCGTGGGGGTGAGGCCGAGGGACCCACCAGGGGCCCCAGGGGCCTTGGCCACGTCCCCACCCCGGCGTCCACCCACACGCAGTCCCCTCCTCCGTTTCCCTCATCCCTTGCGCTGGACATCCCCAGGGAGAGGTGTGGGTCAGTGTCCGAGTCCAGCTCCCGCGGGTGGACAGTGCTGTGGCGGGGAGGCCGGCATCCCAAGAGGTGGCAGGCGAGGCCCGAGGGTGGCCGTGAGTCCCGGCCAGGGAGTGGGCAGACCTGGACCCCAAGGTCAGCGGGGAGAGTCAGGTGGGGAAGCACTTTGGAGCCTCACAAAGCCTCACTCGTGACACCCCCCAGGGCGCACGAAACACCAGCTTGAGCACTGCTGGGCGGGCGCCTGACTCACGCAGATGGAGGGCTGGGCTCCCGGGCAGGGCGTGCGGCCAGCGTGTGGACATCCTGAGTCCAGTCCCCACCTGGGGGCTCTGCGGCCCTTGGACATCCGGGGCCAAGAAGGCAACGTGGGAACGAGATTCTTCTGGCCAGCCGGGCTCCTCACGCCCAGAGACGTCTCTCCTGGCGGAGCTCGGCGCAAAGGAAACTCCGGATCGTCTGTTTCAGTCACTGGACAGAGACTCCAGGGGCACCTGCAGGCCCTGGGTGGGCCAGGGACTCCGGGAGGGGAGACAGGGGGGCATGGAGAAAAAGCGCCATTTGGTCGCTGCTTTAAAGGAATTTTTTACATCTCTTTACCAAAGAATCATTTGAATTAACACATTCGAATATTCTGCTCATTGCTTAAGGATCATTTTAAGAACAGAACAAAATGGTGATGATGAACTTTCTCAAAGAGCAATCGCTAAATTGCATCCAATTGGGAGACAATTATTTCATTTCTACTCCTAAAAGCGTGGGCTAATTTCTTTCTGTGAGCAGCAGCAGTCGTCGGGGCCCTTCTGGGTGCTCTGCTCGGACCTGCACCTGCCCGGCACCAAGTGTGGGGCCGGGCATCGAACCCGGGTCAGCTGCACGCAAGACAAATGCCCTGCCCTCAGAACTCTCTCCCTGGCATGGTGCATTTTTAAAGGGAATTCAAAATCAACTCCCAAACCGTCTGTTTCCAGCTCGTGGTTTCCAGGTTCTGTCGGTGGCTGGAGCGTTGATTGTGTCACTGTGATTTCTGGAGACACTCTTGGAGGTACTGCTTTCTCGAAAGGCTGGTCTGCACCTCTGCGGAGGGGGTGTAAGGGGACCCCTCTTCCTCCATCCTCCCTCCACCTGGATTTCCGCTGAGTCTTCACCCCACCTGGCGGCAGGGAAGCCAGGGTCCATTCCCACCCTCTCGGGGAGCCTCCCTGTCCCACTGGGCCCCTCTCAGGGTGCTGCACCCACAAAGTGCTCTAGCAGGTCCTAAGCCACCACCTTGCAGTCTCCTGAGCAGCATTGATGCCTTGCTGGTTTCCCCGCACCCCCAAATGCCAGTATTTGAGGATGAAAGGCGGAGACGCCTTGGAATGAGTTTTGAAACATTTTCTCTAGTGGAGAATCTTCAAGGTAGAATTACGACACGGATACAGAAACTGCTCACAACAGGCTTCGGGCTCAGAATCGGCCTTGTGACAAATGCTTTTGGTGGTCGTCTTCGTGGAGCTGATTTTTCCAAGCTATGTAGATGCAAGGGGAACAGGGGCAGAGAGAGAGAGAGAGAGAGAGAGAGAGAGAGAGAGAGAGAGAGAGAGACAGAGAGAGAGACAGAGAGAGAGAGACAGAGAGAGGGAAAGGAAGAGAGACAGAGAGAGGGAGGGAGAGAGAGGGAGAGAGACAGAGAGACTAATTTTTCAGGTGACCAATCGCCTAGGTGGAGGAAAAGGTAATTGATACACCCGAGGTCTCTTAAACCTACGGCTCAGTCCTGGTCTAAAGTCGATCTCCCTCTGATTAGTAACAGAAGTATTTCCGTTTGGAGGATAGGTTTATTTTTGAATTCCACTTATTATACTAAATCGAATACCATATCGCGAAATCATTTCCACTTTTATGGACATCCCTAACCTCTCCAGGGTCTTCTTCAGGCGTTTGGTTTATTGGGGAAGAGGCATTGATGCCTGCAATGACGCCCATGGTGCCGCCACATTACAGCAAAGGAAATAAGCCACAAAAACTCCAGCTCTTATTGCAGATTCAGTATCAACTGGCGTGATTTTTTTTTTAAATAATGGAGAATACCAGGATGTGGCATCGGGAGGGGCAGAGCTCGGCTCATACCTCATCAAATGCTGCCGTCCCCGAGACAGAGGAGACAGGCGGAGCTGTGACCTTCGTCAGCTGCATCGCGAGGAGGCCACGGCCAGACCCAGCAGCAGCCAGGAAACTGTGGCTTCAGCAGGGAGCCCGGGCGGTCTGCGGGGAGGGCCAGGCCTGCTGCTGCCACCCTTCACGGGGAAACACAGCTCTGAACCATGATGCCTCAGTTTCCAGCAGGATGGGGCCGAGCGAGAATTCTCTGGAAGCTGTAAGCAGGCCGGGCGGCCGCGCTGTT